GCGCGCGCGTCACGAAGACGGGCAGCTGCTGCGCGCGCGGTCGCACGCCCCCCGGCGGGCACTCGGGCTGGCTGCGCCCTGTCGACACACAGTGCACGTTTCTATAGAGGAGGTACTCTTAAGAAAGGACCCACTTGGCAGGCCGGGAAACAAATGAACGTCATGCAGGGCGATGATATTGCAAGACATAGAGATGAGGCCATTACAAATGGACCAACTGTAAACCAACGCACTGACAAAATGCGTGCATGGACTTAACCTGATATTCTGTTACCAGCGGTCCCTTCTTATAGTTCCCTCTCTATACTCTCGTCGCCGAAGAAGCCTAAAAACACCAGCATGTGCTGTCTAAAAAAATATCATGAAATGCTGCAAATAATGTTCTGAACCGCGTCTTTTAGGTCCATTATGTAGATCTTTATTATTTAGTTTCATCATTTATGCCTTAGCGTTTTCAAACGTATGGTAAAGATTTCAATACCGTTTGTTTTATCTGTAAATCTGGTGTGCCCTAGTTACAATTTCTTTAACAATGAAATTTCTGTCACACAGACACACATTGGCATTCAAATAGATAATCAATTACCGTTAAATGTAGTTTCTAAACTTATTTAAAAACTGACCCATGAAGGTTTTATTAGTTAAAAAATGACGCGAATTTTTTTGAGTAGACCTGTTTTTTACTTTCGTTAGCGAAAAGGAAAGTTAAAAGATAAGAAAATTATTTTTACGTTCGATGCCATACTTATTCGTTAGTAAGTATGGCAGTAAATATTTAAATGCATAATACACAAGCATTAGGACGTAGACATGTAGGTTTACACTTTGGCATGAACTCACCTCGTCGCAGGTAGTTACACAGCCACACCAAAATCATCACGATCAGTACCACTGCCACCGACAGTTTGAAGAAGTACCTGCAACACATTAGCTTAGTCATCATCATATTCCCTTCATAAAGTCTTACACTAGATTTTATTTGTGTAAGGATAGTTAATAAGCATAAGAAAAGAAATGCTTAAATATCACCCTTTCACTATACACTATACTCGTATTACTTAGCATGATCATTTCTTCAAATTCTGCATTTTTAATCTTGAGCGTAGCCAAGAGACACTGCTCTAACCCTCTTAAAATAATTATTTAGATCACATTTATCACATTTTAATTCATACATTTTATAAATTTCAATTTATAATTTACTGTTATTTTCAATTATTGTATTAATTATTATTTTGTCAGCAACTACGCCCACTTCTGCAATTGATAAAACAAACTTCCTGGTAATTTTTGTTTAGTTACCAGTACTTTTCACATCACTTTTACGGTTGTTTCACCATTTTTTGCCATCGGTCGAAGCACGCAACCTTATTTTTTTAAGCACAATAAACCCTGCATCTTAAATTTCAGTTTAGGATTATATTAAACTCTTGGTACAACATTGACAAAATATACGAATATAGAACGTAAGTTGGGAAGATGGCACTACTTGTTTAGTAATGTTCCTTGTTTTCTTTGTCGTGACGGAAGAAGGAAAGTATTAGCCGACAATTGCTACTATTCAACTGTCCATTGTCGTGTTCGTCTACCATTTTCCATTCACGCGCTTGGGATATTTATAAATTGTTCGCATTCACTATTGCACAAGCTACAGAAGTTGTCATGTAAATACAAAAGCAACCATGTATGGGAATCGTGCGTAGCAGAATCTAAGAAACAAATTTGTATGCTTCAAGTGTGGACGAAGCGTAAATATATGCAGAGATTTAATGAATTTGAAGCACAATTAAAAAATTTGTTTCACTAAAACGAAAATAATAACTAATAGGCACTTTAAAAATAAATATGCAAACAATGCGATAATTGTGATGATCCTGTCTTGTAATCAAGAGAGAATTCACATTCAAACTTAGTCTTATTTGTTCTCATAAAAAATATAAAAAAATGTACAATAGAAACACCCCAAATGTATAAAAAAACAGATAAACAAACGTTTTTTAAATACAAATAAACGTAAAATCCTGAAATGTTTCAAATGAAATAGGTAGAAATGTATGTGCGTTGTACTCACAGCATGTTTCTTGTGCAGCAACCCCTCCAGCAACAAAACTCGTCGTCCAGACAATAACGCACCTCGGGCACACTGCTGGCCGAGCACACTTCTGCAACAGAAATACAAAGCGAACGTCAGCGCCGGCTTATGGGAACGTTGCCCCGCGGCTGGGGAAGCAACAATTGACGACTCTCTGGGCAACGGAAAATGGCTTTCAGCGTACAGCCTTCACACAAAACACCTAACTGTAGTAAATCAACCACCTGTTTCGTTTCAGGAAGATCACAAATTCTCTCTTTAAGAAATGCAGAAAAAATAAATTATGAAAATTGAAGTATAAGTTGAATAATGGGCAGTAAGTAAAATGTTGTTCTATTCACGTACTACTAAAGGTGTCATGCAATAATTCAAAATATGCGAATATATTTAAAAGAAACTGAACGATAAAGCTAATCTTGATTCATGAAAATGCTCTAGTAAAATACAGTATTTTATATCCTCCTTTTAAAGGTTGTGATATATCATTTTTGAACCTTCCCTATTTTCAAATTACTAGCGTGTGGTTTTAGCCGTGTTCTTAACTACAGTTTCACATAAAACTATTTTAGAAGCTGCTAACCAGTTCGGCTGTAGGATGAAGTGTTAAGAGGCAAACTTACTTGAAAGCTATTTGAACTTCTTAAGAATATAAAGTGTACTTTTATGTGTTATGGTAATGTATAAGGTAAATATAGCCCTGCGCAAATACATTTTTATTGGCACATTTAATAAATATTTATTACAAAACAATTCATTGAAGTATTCGAAGAAAAATGAATTTTATTCATTGAACCTATTTATAGAGATTCAGACTTTCATCGATTTTTAGCTAGTGTAAAACAAGGTCCGTTAAAATAATGAATGCACATGCATTACAAAACAAAGGGTTTGTTTTCAGTTCTTTCTCCCGGTATGGCACAGACGAACTTGCCACTAACTCGGGAAAGGGAACTAGAGAATGAGTGCTTGTAAATCCATAATCATACGAATAATCAAGCTTAAATAAACATATTTAAACAAACAACTGTGTGTGATAATTTTCGATAACGAAAGTTTTTCCAAGTGTAAGCTTCGCCTGAGAATATCAACTGCTGACTACGCAATAGATTCTCACTCAAATTCTTTTGTTAGAATGAAGCTTCTCGTTCAGGAGAAATAAAACGGTGTTCACACAAAGGTTCGCATTACAAAGAACTAAATACAGAAGAAACTGATATCACAGGCAGTGGTACTTAACGCCATGCGCTGCATTACTGGCAAAGCATAAGGTAGGGCAGACAAGGGAGCGGCGCAGCGCGGCGCGGAGTGGAGCAGAGCGGGGCGCTCCCATGAGGAAAACAGGCGCGCCCTGCGGTGAGATAATAAACAACCTGGAGACGTTGTCCCCGCCACTCCGCCCGGCCCCGCCCCGCCCCGCCCACCCTGCAAGCGGCCCGGCCCGGCGCGGCGCATGCGCTCGGCGGCGAGGCAGTTTCCGACGCTGCTTTCCTCCTCTGCACGCTAGCTTCGCCAAGTTCCTCTACGCACGGGATCCAAAGCCTCGCATGCAACGAGAAGGCAATCACTCGTTGGTGCAAGCTATTTCGAGTCGAAGTGGGAAGGATTGTAACATAACGCAAATAGTCCGTTTGTCAATGCATTGCGCATTGGCAAATAATGAAATTAAGTACTGCAATAAAAGTCAATGAACGAGAAGGAAGGACGTCATTATTTTCAATTCCTTACAATACTACGCAAGTGAAGAAAAAGTATTGTAATGCGTCAGAAAGTGGCGAGTTTTCGTCATAAAATCTCTTGTGGTGGAGCCCTGTTATCGGAAAAGTGTATAAATTTTGCTCCGGTACTATTACTTCCTAAAATACATTATGAAGTAAGAATCCACAAATTGTGGGACCTTGATACGGAAAAATTGGTTTACGGGAAAACATCTACTCGTCCGTCTGTGGTCAACGCTAGCTCGTAAATCGTTCAGACAATTTCCTCCTAAACTGATATATCTCGATCGATGTGGCCAAAACGAGGCCCTGTGAATTTGGTAGGGTCATTTTAATATTTGTGTGTTCTTTACACCAAGTCTTAACTACATTTTCAAAAGTTTCTCAAAATCTGCTCCAATTTTTTAAAATTAATATTGCCCTTGAATAGGACAAAGGAAGCTTCGTAAATAATGTCACAGGTTTCATTTTCGTTAAAATCGCTGATTATCCAAACTTGCAAAATTTTCAAAAAAATGCGAGAACGTGTGTGCTGTTGTAGCACCATTAGTTGAGTATTTGGGATGTATTAAAGGGACAACCTGGTTATTGAATCACCCCCCCCCCGCGCGCACACACACAGACGCACACACAACCCTATAATTTGGTGCTGGTGACACCACCCATGGTAACAAACGGACTGAGCTGACAAAAGAAGCATCGAATTCAGTTATTCCATGTCCCCCGTAAAGTAAAATCAGCTTTTCTTAAATTTTCTCCCATGCGCATTGATCTAAATAATAGGGCGGAGTCTTCTCGGTAAGGCCGTAATAACTCATCAGTGGACAGTTGGCCAATGATGTTTGTTGCCGTCGGAGAGGTAATTACCAAGTCAAGTTCGGAGCTTCGGCTTAATCTGTCTCGCTGTAACCAGTCTGGCGTCGCACGGGTCTCTGCGCTGGGCGCGTTTCGCTTTTCCTCGTTCAGAGCTGTTCGTTTTTCTCCACTTTTACAACAGTTCCTTCTTTCCCCTTTGATCTTTTCCTGTTCCAGTCCTGTCGCTTTTTCTATCTCCTTCGGGTAACCTTATTTTATTTTTGCAAATGGAAGCTCCTCTCCAATTAACGGGACATTAATAGATCTCATGTTAAAAAACTTATTCGGGAATCTACTCGACTTCTGCGAGGATACGACCTGTTGTTGAAGATTCTGAATTTATTATTATTATTATCATTATTATTATTATTATTATTATTATTATTATTATTATTACTATTACTATTACTATTACTATTATTATTATTACTATTACTATTATTATTATTACTATTATTATTATTATTACTATTACATACTCTTAATAGTTTTCAGTGAAATAAGAGTGATTTCATTATAGTTATTTTTCAGAGTACATTATTGTATAAATAGTCATGTTAATATGTGTTGGTAAATTACAATTTACGTTTACATTTCGTATTCGGTCATAATCGGTATATTTTGTAATTAACATGAAAATTATTTTTAATTCTTATTTGCACCTAAGCTTTTTCCTTGAATGGGTGTTGAATTGCGGAATTGCTGGAATGGACTTTCCGAGAACGTTGGGAAGGAAGTTTAGTATTCGCGGAAATGTCTCTCCAGGAAGGCGGCGCTGCGGGGCAGCGGTCAAACACAAGCACAACTTCGCGGATTCCTTGTTTTTCCCAGAAGAACTCTCCGTCTTATCCGGTAGAAGGCAGATTTATACTCTTCTTCTACAACACAATATGACGTTGATCCGTCTTTGTTATGTTTTAACAGAACAGTAAACCTAAGACTTTGTATTGGATTTGATCGACGTTAACTGCTGCCGTAAAAACGATAACACTTCTATTTGTTGGTCTCAGTATCGCCCTAATTTTTCTAATTTGAATTATTTATAGCGAATTGGTTACCAGTACACTTCAAACAGGTTACCACTACACATCAAACTTGGAGTCACTTATAACAAGTGTTTTATTTCATTCTACTGTCATTCTACGCGTCAATCCCTTGCAAGACGAACCGCCACATCTTGACGTGGAGTGTCAAATGCATTGTGTGCAGACTCCTGCGGCACTCGTTAGCCCCAATCCTGCACACAAAGGAGCAAACGAGATGCGCGCGCGCGGAGGCGGCAACCGGTCCTCGCGGGAAGCGGCGGCGGCGGCGGCGGCGGCGGCTCAGGGGTGGGGGGGAAAGAGATCCAAGGCCTCTTGCAGCCCCGCCCCCCGAAGGAGCTCGCGCGCCTTCGACTCGCTCGCATGACCCGAGCCCCGCCCCGCCCGCTCCCCCGTTTCATGCACCACCTCACTTCGCCCCGTGCTGCCCCGCCACCATGTTTCAGGATTGCGGATGATTTACAAGGAAAAGATGCTCAGAAAATTATCTATGGACTCCGGAATTTTCTCCTTTACGTTTCTTCATTTATTTAAGTGAATTGGACAGTAGACTTAATTCATAAGACTTTTTATTCTGGGTTCAAACTTTTGTGAGACATCTTCAATTAATACTGACGCAGTTCCATTAATTACAAAGGTGAATTTACAAAAAAAAGAACAATTCTCTTTCGCTTGTTAGTGAAGGATCCGTAATAAATCATTGGGCACTAATTGGGTGTGTCCTGCAACCGCCGTATCCTCTGCCGTCCACTGTTCTCTTTTTGCGTCTCACCGACCGAGGTGGCTCAGGGATCAACTGATGTACTATAGTTCTACAGAGTTTGTTAATATCTCGACCGTAAATTAACAAACTTTGTAGAACTATAATATTCACAAAACCGCTCTTAGTGTAAGTTAGTAATGCCAAAGTGCAAGTAAGTTAACTTTAGGACTAGTATGTAAGACTTAGCTGTAAGAAAAAGCCCCTCCTCTAGCTGCTTAAGCCGCAAGGCAGCAGCTTGTTGTTAATAATTTAAAGGAAATAAATTCCCCTTCTCCACAGGGTTACTGTGGAGGGGACAAAGAAAAAAGGATCAACTGATGTCACTGCAGTGCCTCTGGCTGGGAGGTTCGAGTTCCGAATACCATATCATGAGCTTAAAACATACATTCTGGGAGGTTGGAGCTAGCTCCGGTTGGTGTGTGCCCCACTGCTGATAAATTCTTGGATGAGGAATATCTCGCAAGCTGACATGTAGGTCGGCGCCGAATATCATCAGCCCTAGGGGAGTAACACCGTCACATATCGTGATAAAATCATGCACCACATTTACAAGTCTAGTGACTATATCGCATGACGCGCCTTGAAACACCAAACAATCATTTTGCGCTTCCTTCAATACATGTTTGTTGTGATTTGACCTCTCTCCACATTTTTGTATCTATTTACTCTCGTATTTTCTCCTCTTTTTAATACT